AGGGGATCCACAATTTTTATCTCCTGTAGAAACATAAGCATACCTTTGACTCCAGCTCAACACTTTTCCTGGACTTCATAGAGATGTTAAAACATCTTTATAATATATTGGATGGCTCAATTCAGCAGTTTTCTCCATAATTCAATGTATTTCAGCAGCTGTTGTCCCTGTTTCATTAGCATTTAAAATTTTAAGGTTAGTAATGCATTATGCAGTCTGTCCCTGGGGGTCCTCATATTCCCCTTCTGTTTAGCAAGCATCTCCTTTAGAGTATGATTAGGTCTTTCAATAATTGCTTGTCCTGTAGGACTATATGGTATTGAAAGACCCTAGCCCTTCAGGCTTACACCCCCAAGCCTCAGGAAAAGAGAAACTTCAAGCACCAGGAAATGAGAAACTAAAAATCTAGTTCCAAGGACAACCTGACTTAGCCATTGTTCAATCTCCCCTGCAACCATATAACAATGTAAAGAGATTTCTGTTAAGAGATGTACTCAACTGTGACTGGGATAGTTGCAGGTGTTCCAGAAAGGACCACTGTGACCTGTGTGTAAACTCCACTCCTGCCTTGATAACCCCCCTTGAGGTTTCAGGAAGAATGTACCTGTTGACGTAACTGTACCCCCTCTGTGATCACTCTGTAACCAGACCATGATCTTGTGACACAAAACTGTATGGGAATTGTAATCTTGTGGGTTTTGTGGGTTTTTCCTTTATAAGGCCTTATGGGGCTGCAGTAAGATGCGGCTCTTGCTCTTAGGAGCAGAGTTTGCCCTTCTATATAGAAGCTTTAATAAAAACCTCTTGCTATTGCATCAATTGGACTGGAGTCTGGGTTCTTGGGGCGCCCACTCGAGACCCCCAGATTTGGGGTCCAACAGTATCCCTATAATGTGTTTTATGTTGTAACATGCAAAAAAAATTGTTTTATCTTACTGGAAACATAAGCTCGGGCATTGTCAGTTTTAATATGTACTGGTATGCCCATTACAGCCATTGTTTCTAATAAATGTATAATTATAGAATCAGCCTTTTCAGAGCTTAAGGCAGATGCCCATTGAAATCGAGAGTATGTTTCAATGGTATGATGAATATATTTTAATTTTCCAAATTCTGATAAATGAAATACATCCATTTGCCAAATTCCATTTCCTTGTGTACCTTTAAGATTAGTTCCTGTGGGTAAAGGAACTTGATTATACAAAGAACAAGCAGCACAGTTTTTAATTTCCTTAGCTTATTGCCAAGTAATGGAAAATTTTTATTACTATTAATATGTTGTTTCTTATGAAATTCTGAAGCTTCCAATACTTCTCCTATCTGTAATTGATCAATTTCTTCATTTCCTTTTGCTAGTGGTCCAGGCAACCTAGTATGAGATCGATTATGGGTAATATAAAGTAGGCAATTCATTTCTCGGA